CGCTCGCACATCATTGATCCAGCACATCTTGACTCTGAATCGGTCTGCCCGCAAGTATGTGGTCAGCGGCCCTTCCCAGAATGCCTGCGCTTTCTCAAGCATCTGACCCGCATTCTTGCCCGACAGCGCTACATGGAAGAAGGCGTCGGACCAATCGCTGCCGAACTTAGTAAAGTATTTGCCAGCCCTGGCAGTTAGTTTGTCCAGAGCCTGGCTGGCATCTTCGCGATCAGCATCTGGCAGGGTCTTGTCCTGCTGTGCATGCATGTGTACCTGCATCTCGCCGACCATCAGCTCGGTAAGCGTGTGCATATCGCGGAATCGTTCGGCTAGCGACATGCCCTCGCCAGCTTTGCCAATGAGCGCAAGCCCGGTAGATTGGTTGTAGCGTTCCGTCTCAAACTTGGTCTGGAGCTGTTCCACGAGTGCCTGCGTATCGGGCGACGGTTGCTGGGATTGCCATGCAATGCGCTCGCGAAAAAGGTCGCAGCATCCCTGTATAACATTTGCATTGATGTTGCCGATTTTGCTGACAACGGCTTCTTCTGGCGTCTGGGGCGAGCAATATCTCGCGCAAAAGTCCTTCGCCACGGCATGCGTGATGCGCGATACGCTCGAACCCGCGGCGAGCATCTCGTTGGTGCATGTCCACGGCTCAGGGATTCCCTCATAGTCAGCTTCGTCCTCCAACACGGCATAGTCGAGATATCTTGCGCTTCCACCGCCCTCGCGATCTCTCCAGATACTGTAGTTTGGTGAATCCTTCTCGCGGAAATCGAAGATGGCATCAAAAGCCACCTTCCATAGTTCGTTTGCATCCGCAAAGTACATCAAAGTAGCCACTGTAGCACTCGACTTCAAAGCCTGAAGCCTCCTGAGCTTCTGTCTGATTGTGATCAAGAACCGATCTGTCCTTGCCAGGTCGTTGACGAAGAAGTATCTGACAGCATCTTCGTCGCCCGTCTTCAGCTCAGAACTCTCGAGACTCGAACAGACCTCTTCCGTGAACGTCGTGTGTTGGAACTTGTCATTGGACGGGAGAGCATCTCTCTGTTTCTCATATGTGCTCCACAACGCCTGACCAACCGCAACCTTTTCCGCATCCCAGAACAACTGCCACATAACCCGCTTCGAGACTTTTGGGTAGTTTTGTCGCACGTGTTTGACCAAGCCCTCCAGCGCGCGGGCCCGATATTCCAGATGCGAAGACATTGAAGACTGGCCATGCAGCTGGGGAATCTTTGACTGTAGAATTTCTGAACTGATGGCAAGCACGGCCTCTTCAGTCTGCTCAGTGTGATATTTCCTGTCTGCGTGGGAGGAGAAATCAAAGATGTTTTCACGCATGGCACCGAAGAAGATGGCCTGTTCGATCCTGGCCTCCTCGCTGAGACTTTCGCGTTCTCCGGCGCCGGAAGGATCAGTGATTGATAACCGCACCAGCCCGGTACCCTGAACAAATGCGATGGCCGATTCATGGCCCGCCCTCCTCTCCTCGGGACAGGCGCCGAGGAACTTGGACGGGCGGGGGGATCGGAGGTAGAGGAGGTCTTCGAAGGGCTGCGGTTCGACGTAGGAGACGTCGTGCAGTTGGGCATTTGGGTCATCATGGCCGTTCAGACTCATGGTAGACAATAGAGCAACAGCATCTGGGAACACGACTATAGCGGTATGACGAGGGGCAGGAAGGAGAAGCCGCGGCTTTGTTGCACCCGGACTACTATGGTAGCCGCTGATCTGGATCAGCTGTCCAAACTTAGGGGGACCACAATTGGGACCGCTGTCTCTACCCGTGTCGTTGCCCACCTCTGCCACAAAGTAGTCCAGCCCGTCCCAGCGTTCCATGCTCACTAACAGCAGCATGGTGACGGGCATATCAGAATAACTCGTTTCCCATGTGGCCAGAGTCGAACTTTTGTCCTGCAAAGTGAAATCGACGAGTTTGAGCGTCTCTGGTCGGGGAACACTGTCCCTGCCCATGCGATATTTCATCTCATCCTCAATGAATGGTTTCAAGTCCTTGCTAAAGGACCAACGCTGCGTACCGACCCAATCGAGTTCCCACACGAGCAGCTCCAGGTCGCGCGTGATGGCAAGTACTTGCAACTGTTCCCTGCCGGACCGACGAGTGCGTACCTCAAATACCTCCTTCTTGAATTGCGGCAACATGCCTCTTAGGCTGCCAAGCACACCGCCCGGTAGCTGCCCACCAGGCCGCTGGACGTTGCAGATAATCTTTGGCTTGCCCTGAGGGTCGTGGAGGGTCAGATGGATGATGCGGCCCGAGGAAAGCAATATCATAAAACCAAACTGCTCTGTTGGATGGATGGCTGTAACTTTTTCTGAATACGAGAATCCAGAGATGGTGCCCTCCACGCCTGTGGCGTGTTCGTGCAAGAAGCCCAATGACGCCGCTCGCTCCACCGACTCGTAATAAACGATGCGGCCGCTGGTTGCCGACACCAGCAGCAGCCCAACGTCCGACTGCGTGGCTGCGACGGGCACCAGGACGCCAAACGGCAGAGGGTCGCCGTCTTTCGCTGGGACGGGCAGACCAAATACCTTCGCATTGTTAGCCATTGTGTGAGCTGTATAGTCCCACACATAGGCCTTGGTCTGCGTCACGGCCAGGGCAATGTGCTGATGCGCCGTGCTGAGGATGTCGCCGCGGAACTCCAGGCCGGGCTGTCGCAGCTCCTTGGGCGTGGACGGCAGGGCTCTGATGGAGTACAGATTGTTGCTCACCAGCGTCATGGCATCGTCGCTCTTGGCCGCGCGTTTGCCGCCCACCGTCTTCTTCCCTCGCACCGCCAGTTCTTGAAGTTCGGGCGTCTCGCTGAAGTTACGCTGGCTCTCGATGCGACGACCGTTGGGTACGGAGCTGTAGCCGTTGACTTCAGATCCGTGGCTATTGGCTCTGACGTCTCCGGTGATCCTGGTCTTCTTCCTCTGCGGCGCCGTGCCTGGACTCTCGCCGTCGCCCTGGCGCGGCCTGCGTCGGGGGTTGCGCACGCTGCCTGAGCTGACCCATTGCTGCTGGTCCATGGATATCGCGGCTTCTGGCGCTGACATGGTCGCGCAACAATACCGAGCGCGTCCTGGAATTTGGAGTGTTTCCGCCCGACGTCGGGAGCTGTGGAGGTGGCGCGTGACGCTAAACTGTTTGGGGAAGGTGCGGCGTTTCTGGTGCCTGCAGACGCACAATGAGCACTTTCAAACAGATCTTGACTCGATCCAGAGGTCTCTCGAACCATTCTGTGAACACGATTTGGATGTAGTTAGTGAACCTCTTTTATATAAACACCTTAATCCCCACCATCCATCTATACTACTCCTTCTCCCATTCGTCTACAGTTGCACCTCATTATTCAGCAGCCTAACCTCCTCACCAGGCTTAAAAGCCGGTAGACCAATGTACGGACATCCATCGCACCGAAACGCATCGCCAAGCGCACAGTTACCACAAGAACCCACTTTGCCCTTGACTGTAAAGTCCACTTCGTTGAGGTCGTTGGCAGAGAGCTTTGCGAGATTCGAGTCTGCGTCTGCACGCTTCACCTTGTCTTCCTCTGCAAGTCTCTCTGCAAGGCCACAAGTGCAGTCCTTGCAGGCGCGACGGCGCTTTGAATTGGGCTTACACGCCTCAGCTACAATTGAACAATCAGCATGGTTACACCTCCCTTCCAGTACAAATCACTTACGCACGATAATCGGTCTCTTCCTATCCTCCTCCGTCAACAAAGTATTCGGATCAATCGCCTCCGCCTTGAGCAATTCCTCCTCATCCGGAATCTCCAATTCATCCTCCCCATCATCGAACCCAACCCCATTCGGCACGCCAGCTTGCGCCAGCGGCATCCCTCTATTCGTCCGAGCCCCATTCACCTCCTCAACCGCATTCGCCGGCACAGCAGACGCATTCGCCTTCCTCCTAAAATTCAGCTTAACCGTCTGCGCCTCGACAGCATTCGGCTTTACCATTCCCTCCTCGGGGTCACTCTCCAACCCCGCAAGAATCGCCTCCGTCCTCTCCTGGCTCTGCATCTCCCTCTCATTACACCTTAACTTCCCTAAAGGTCTCATACTCTTCACCACCATCTCCATAACCCTTCTATCCAACACATCCCCCACCCCCGTAAGCAAGAGCACAAGATCATACGTCGCAGCAGGCAGCGCAACAAGACCCATGGCAAGCCGATCAAGCATTTGAATATCCGTCGCGCTGCGATCGTACGCCTCCGCGACCTTACCCAGAGTCTCCGGGTGCGCAGCCACGGAAGGCGGCGCAAGGATGAGTGTGCGCTTCAATTTCAGGTCCTTCTCGGTCACAGAGGCCCCAAAGTCAGGCGCAGTGTCGATAGTAATCCCCGGTGCCATTATTTGCTTGCTCGTATGAAGTCGCTGTCGCTCGCAGAGAAAAACGTGGGGTGGCGAAAACGTTACCCCGCACTGCTAGCGCGCTAAACTAAAATGGCGTGATATCCACGCACAGATTAAGGTTCAAAGTTCCAACTCCGCATGGACATCGAATATTACAATTTTGTCGAGGTCGAGGTCAGAATTTTCGCTCATTCAGCTAAAGACAAACGGGCATGCACATCTTTATCATTTCGATAGAAGCAAATGAACACTGCAAACGTCTACTCACTGGAGCCTTCGAGTTTCCCCTAAGATGACCTCAAACTAGCCTAGAATAGCAGCAGTACCTCTATGGAAAACCTCTTGACTTTCAACGTAACCTTCATTCTCATCTACCACTCACGTTCCCACTCCCCTCCTCCCCCCCCCCCCAAAAAAAAAAACAGTCTCCCTTTCACCAGCAAAAAAGAAATGTTGACCAGAGTTAAATTCGAATTCAAGCCCTCAGGGGCTAGCGGGTGGAAGAACGTTAAACTAGCGCCTTAGACCTCTCGGCCACCTTATCCTGTATATAGGATGCGGTAAACCACGTGACATAAAAATATCTGATATGGTCATGTTCAAACAGCAAAAAAAGATGGTGACCAGAGTGAGATTCGAACTCACGCCCTTTCGGACTAGCGATCAGGTAGAGTACCTTAAGCTAGCGCCTTAGACCGCTCGGCCATCTGGCCCTTTGATGATTGATAGGGAGGTTGTGGGGATTATATACTTAAGATGGCTTTATTTTTGGGAAGGAGATGGATGTCTCAGTGTATTATTGATTGTTCATATGGCATGAAGAGTCGTGCAAGAGATTCATGATTGTGGTAAGATGAGATTTTCGAGTGTGCTTTCTTGTCTCACGTCTGGCTCTTCATGAACGATAGGCTGTTTTCCAGCAGACATACTTGTTAGTCGGACTCGACCCTCGAAATCCAGTTATCCTACATTCATTACGGGACCACAGTTTGAGTTGAAATTGCGAAGTGTTTTCAGAATTTCATGTACAAACACAGCACGGATTGCTCAACAAAAACTTTATTCTGAAGTACTTTTTTATTGCATCAACGTCCGTCTTCTATTCGCAGCTCGCTCACTTCCCTCCCCAGATGAGATTAGATCCTTACTTGACTTTGTCCCGCTTTTACTCGCCGTAGAGTGTCGTCTGGAAGATGTGCTTTTTGAACGCACAGGTTCTGGTATGGGTCCAGGTGAGGACGATTCGGCTACGTCGTATATGGCGAGGTCTTCCAACTCTTTTGTTGCGGCGTCGAGGACTGTACTTGTAGGGGCAGATTTGGATACCGTGGGTGAACTTGGTGTTGAGCCTCGTCCACCGTTCGTTGGGTTTGGTTTTCTGGTTCGTTTGCTAGCAGAGGATTTCTTTTCTGATGAGGTGGTGGGGAGGTCTTTCCAGGTGAATCCATCTTCGGCGGCCTCTTCCTTAATGGGCACGGATGTGTGATCTTCCTTCTTCATGACGCTCTGGTGCTTTTGTAACCCGCTGATGGCATCTACCATTTGCTCGCCAGGTCGCCGCATCTTGGCTATTAGAGACGGCTCGGCGTAGTTCACGGCACCCTTTGCTCGTCTTGATGGTCTTCCTCCACCGTCGGCTTTGATACTGGCAGAACTTAGGTCCTCGGGTTGTGGTGTGCAAGTCCGGCTGGCATCTGACCTGGAAGCAGGTATTTCAGGCTTGGTGGAAGGTTTTTGGGATGGCTCTTTGGAAGAAGGCTCCGGTAACTCGATCTCAGCAGGCTCGTAGAAACTATTTCTTTGTGGAGAGAGTAGTGGGATGGATGATACTGAGCGAGATGTGCCCCTTGCGGGCTTTTTAGCGTGTGCCTTCTCTGCCTTTTCCGGTGGGTTTGACTTTTCCGAAAAGTTCGGCTTCTCAGACTTGTCAGGCTTGTCCAGCGCCGTCTCCACTTGACTTGCCCTCACCGGCGCCTTTCGTGGCGAGATGTTGACGCTCTTGTCGCCCAGAACCTTGCGCACAGCCGGGGAATTGACCGCAAGTGCTGGTTCAATGACATTCTCCGCTTTCCCTTTGGCACTGTTATCGCTCACCCCAGGCACGCTCTTCTTCTCTTCTGCAGGCTGGGTCTTGCGACTGAAGGAGAAATCTTCATCAACGTCTCTGTCAATCATTTTCCTCTTTGCACCAGCTCTGATGATACATGAGGCTTCCCCGTCCGTGCGCTCAGGTGAAGATGGCACGATGGATTGCCTCCTGATTTCAAGCTTTGGGAGTCCATCTTTCCGCCTTCGTCGAGTCTCAAGATTGACGCCCAGATCTGGTAGCACACTGCCATCAGCAACAGCTGGCGCTGGATATGACACTGAGGGTGACGCTGGTGCCTTAACGGGGTCTTCGAAATCAAAGTGTGCCATTGGTGGAGGTCCGAGATCTGGTGAATCGTTGCTGCCAGGATCTGATAGTCGGAGTTTCTGAATCTCTTCCGAGTTTAGTGTCCGGCGCGGGTACTGTTTGCCTTCGCAAATCGTAGGTAATTCCTTCTCGCCCAACGTTGCCCTCAACGAACGTCGCTCCAGCCAAAGACGTTTTGTAACCTCCTTGCTACGTGTTACGCGCCCATCAACATTACTGTGCAAAGCGGCCATCTGATCCAGCCCGTCCACTATGCTATCCAATTCGGCAAGCTTGGCCTGCAACGCCACCTTCATCGATCGAACGACTTCCTCGCTAGGGGCGGATTTTGTCTTCCGCAGTTCGTTTTCCAGCTGCAGAATCTTCTCCCGAAGCGCAAGGTTATCGGTCTGTAGGCGGCCAATCTCCATTTCCAAGCCTCGAATGCGCAAATTCTGGTGCGAGTTGTTCTTGGCCAGCTCTCGATTCTGGCGAATGACTTTCCTCCTAATCTCATCCAAGTGAGGAGCTGTTTTATCTGGCAACGGCTGGCCCTTTGTGCGCATAATGTCGGCAACGTGGTCGGCGACCTCGCCAAACTGCGGTTGCGAGGCGGGCGTCGGGCTCATGGCAGGCGCCGCTGGCCGTTCTCCGTTTAGACGAGCCATTTGCGACTGCTCCGATTAAGATTGTAGTCATACAAATGCGATGGTATCGCTACTGCCTTCCTTGGCGCGTCCGGTGAGGGGAAGGTTGTAGGCGCAATGAATCAACAAGGTTTATTTTGGTGTTTATGCGGAGCGTCGTCAAGGGCAACCTGCAGACAGCGTCATCTCATTGGACGCCGATATGTACGCGATGCGGGGTAGCGCGATGAACGCAAACCAATGACAATCTGGCACACAACCGTGCTGTGCCGCAGACTACGGTTTCTTTGACATATACCATGTCCCATGCACACCGTCAAACTATTCTGCCAACCCACATTCGCCAGTCTTCTGCCCAGTCATCAACGCTGCAAGCGCGTGTCAATGCGAAGAAGGCGGAGCTGGAAAACCTCCGCCAGTTAAGAGACTTGTCGGCTGATCTAGCCTGTCAGATGCAAAATCTGGAGGCCAAACTAGCAACATTGAATTCGGGAACTGAATGTCTTGCAGCTGTTCTGGGCAATTGGCATAATGTGCTAAGAGCTATTCACATGGCTAGCTGTGAGTTGGCTTGATGGTTCAAAGCTGTGCTAATTGGAATTGTAGTGAGCGTTCAGAAGACAGCACAGGAAGGCGGCGCAGGCGATGTCTCGTTGCCGCAGACTCTTGTTAGAATCCCAATCCACCAAGCTGAAGCCATGCAAAAGGAGCTAGATGCCGTAGAAGCTGCCAGTGCAGAGGAGTGAATGTACTGTCTGTAACCTTTTTAGAAAACTGAGAGTGAGCAAGTGTAAGCTGACGAAGAATTTGAAACCGGCAAAGCACACGAGATGCTCGCTGGCTGGTGAATTGCCGATGTCGATGAATAGTCCGTAATACACCAGGCAAGCTTCCATCATTTTAACAGTTGTCATTAAAAATTAATTATGCCAGGCACACGGATGCAATTCAATGGCGATTAGCTATGCATCTCTAACCCTCAAATCATAATCCGTTCCGAGTATTTTCGTGGACATTGTGACGTCCCGCTCATCCTGTTTGCTTATTGCTCGAGTGTTTTGGTTGTCTCTCATAGGCGTTGGGACTTGGTCTCCTTTCTTTGGCTTTACCCTTATCATCTTCCCGTTTGGTGTTTTTCTTGGGCTTTCGTCCTCCATTGCCAGCCCTCTGTGCGCGACTCAAGTCCTCGCCTTCGCTGCTATCATCGCTATCCGAGCTGCTAGTCTCCGACTCACTATCTCCGGGCTCGTGCGGCTTGTGATAGATGCAGCACACCTTGCTGCTTTTCTTGCCCATTCCTTCATTGTCAACGACCGAGTCATCCCACCTCACGTGGGGTGTGTCATCGGGCTCAGCATTGGCCCGGAGCCGCAGAGTTGCGGTCGGAGCCGTACTTGGCCCCGCTTGGACAATAGTTTGCGAGCCCGAAGAAGCAACGGGCGTTGAAGTACGAGTGATTTGACGAGACATGGCTTGACAGCTGTGGCTGGCCAGGCGGTTTCAACCTCAAGGTGGGGTAGAGTGCAGATCACGTGCTGCTGCTGACAAAGCAGCGCGCCAAGAATTACAAGACAGCCACGGACTCGTCACGTTGGCTCTGTTCCGGCCAGTAAGTTCCTTCAGAGCACCTCGTTCTTGTAGCGGAAGCTCTGGTTGGTGACAAACAAGAGATCGACGGTTTCAAAGCGGCCGGTAACCAGTGACCGTGGCGTTGCTTTGCTTAGTCACGACCCGTTGCCGTCTGCCGGCTTTGCTGAGACACGCAACGATCCACGGTGACAATTTCTTCTGCCTACCGCCAGCGCGCGAAACGACAGTAGCGGCCTTATTGCCTGACCACTGGCCGCGCCGCAGACTAGAGGTTCCGCGCCACCGCCCCACTCTCTACGACGCCGCATCCGCCGAACGCCGCCCCCAGCACCCTTGAGCTCTTGACGTGCATTCGCCGGCGACGTGCCACCATTGGCGTACCGCTCACTGCCTGGGGCCTTTTCTTCACAGCTTCATCATCTCTGCTGCCCGCCTGCAGCTCTTCCCTTTCCAGAAACCCGCCCCGATCCCTTCGTCTGTCTTTCCCTCTCCCTGCCAAGATGACGTCAAACGTTGAGCAGCTGGATGAAACGGTGCGTGCCTTCTATGAGGGCCGTGGCCAGTCGCAAAAGGAGGCGCAGCGGGCGCTGAACCAATTTAAAGAGAACCCCGACTCGTGGCTCCTGGTGGACAAGATTCTACAGGATGCCAAATACCCCCAGACCAAGTACCTTGGCTTGCAAGTGCTGGACAACGTGATCATGACGCGGTGGAAGGTGTTGCCGCGCGACCAGTGCATGGGCATCCGGAACTTTGTTGTCAACTTCATTATCCAGAACAGCAGTTCGGAGGAGCAGCTGAAGCAAGAGCGCGTGTTGCTGAATAAGCTCAACCTGGTTTTGGTATCCATCTTGAAGCAGGAATGGCCGCATAACTGGCCAACTTTCATCAATGAAATTGTTTCTAGCTGCCGGACTAGCCTCCCAATCTGCGAGAACAATATGGCCATTCTCCGCCTGCTATCCGAAGAGGTCTTCGATTTTTCAGCCGACCAAATGACTAGCGCCAAGACGAAACAGCTCAAGCAGAGCATGTGCGACGAGTTTACCAACATTTACCAGCTTTGTTCCGAGATCCTCCA